TTATACCCTTTTTACCTCTCATGAGGTAATATTAGTAAAAAAAATAAAAAACATTAAGAGCTAAAATAATTAGTGAAATTTAAAAGATATATATATATATATATATATATATATATATGTTTTTTATAAAAAAACACAAAACACGAAGGAAAGAGTTGAGTGGAGCGGAGTTTTGTTGTTTGTAGGTGCAGCCCTGAAGATGAAGGAGAAATTTAATTTTTCATTATACATATATATATATATATATATATATATATGCGTATATATTGGTAGAATGAATTATATATTTTCATTATACAAAGATAAATATAAACATATGTTTTTATAAAAAATTTATTTTACATTTTATATATTTTATATGTTTTCATAAAAAAATTTACATTTCATTATATATTATATGTGCGTGGGGTAGAATGAAAAAAGTTTTAGAGTATACAAGAAATGAAAACCAAAATAAAAATGGAAAATGCTCACCTTTGTGCTTACCTCATTCAAGTCAGAGAATGTTGATTGATTCCTCCAAGTCTGCCAAGACTTACAGGTCAATTACTCATCCTCACTCAATTTGCCCACTTTTTTTTTTTTTTCAATTGTCATCCCTACTCCTACATCTACTCTAATTACAGGAAGGCTCAACTGAACCTACGAAAGATCGATGAGAACAGAATCACCACTGGATCAGACAGGTGCACAATACACCCTTCTGAATTTTAAGAAGAGCCACAAGAATGATATTTTGATGGGAGACAAGTTTACCAAAGCCTTAAGGCTATGTTTTCAGAACCGGACCGGATATCGACTCGGCCGAGGTCAGGGGTCAGGGGTCAATGGGTTAGATCGGGGGTCGATAGGGGTCGAACCGGATGACGTCATAAATAAAAATTATTTAAAAATTAAATTATTGTATATAAAATATCCAATAACATATTGATATTAATAAAGGTATATTCATATATACTTGAAATAGAACAATCAAGTAACAATTTATATTATTTAATAAACATTAACAAGTTTAGAATTAAAATTATGGATTTAATTGAAAAATAACATCAAATTTTAGGACAATATTTATAAAGTATGAAATATTTGAGATATATTAATAAGTTTTCACAATTTAGGGGGCCAAAACATAATATTAAAAAAGTTTGAACTTTTTTTACAAAATCTCCTGTTGGACCGATTTTTCCGGTTCTGTACCGGTCAAACCCGGGTTTTGACCGGAATTGACCGGGTTTTGAATCTCCCGGTTTTGATGATCAACTCGGACCGGACACTCGACCGGTTCCCGGTTCAACCGATCAGATCGGCCGGTCCGGTCCGAGTTTGAAAACACAGCCTTAAGGGCTTAGTGGAGCTGGTGGTTCATTCAATTTGCCCACTTGGTTCAATCAATAACATCTTTTGACTGATTTGACTGATGGCTCGTGTAATTAATAGCGGACATTTGCTTCCTCATTGAGAACAACATAGCATATGGACCGGGGAATGCCAAAAGCAAGGGCTACGACTCTAAGTGTTGACCATCTAGAGGTTGTTGTTGTAAGTATGGCAACATTGAAGTTTGAAAATTAAAATTTAAAATGTAAAATTTAAAATTTAAAATTATTAAATTTAATCTATTTGAATATATATCATATTAAATAATAAGTTAATATATTATTATTTATTTTTTAGATCAAATTTTATCTAGAAAGTTTTTGGTCTAATTGTGGTTCAATCACCATTAATTTTCCAATTGGACCTCCCTTTCCCCTAGAATAGAAGTCAAATAGGTGTAGAATAGGCGTTGTTGATTGATAAAAGAAAAATAATAATAATAGGATGGGACTTATTCTTTTTTTTTCTGAAGACGATAACAATTGTATAACCTATTTTATTCTAAATTACAAAGGAGAGAAAATCTAAAGAGACTTGTGTTAGGAACTAATACATACACAGATCTTACTAAACTAGAAAAGTGTTTTGACACCATCTTTTGTGGTGCCACGTTATGGACTATGAAGCGTGGTAGACCTACAATCACATGCATGTGATAATGGTCGAGTTGACCCGTTGAAAAAATTGGGAAACCAAAGAATCTAGAAAACAAATTTCTAATAGAAAAATTTGTCAAATTAGTCCCTAACATTTACACAAAAAACTTTTTTAGTCTCTAACATTTAAAATCAGCCAAAATAGTTCTTAACATATAAATTCTGATCCATTTTTATCCTAATGCTCGTATTTGCTCATTTCTCCGACTAAAAATAGCACGTCTCTCTCATGTGGGCATATTTTCAAGGACAAAACTAGAAAACACTATTGTTTTCAGTGTAAACGTGGAATTGAAGCTTCTACTGCTGCTACTTCAGTATATTCTCCCCAAACTGAAAAGCACCCGCGTCAATTTGAGGCTTGATCCCTTTAGCGGTGTGGCTGCTGCTGTTGATCCCCCAAGGAACCACCACCAATAAACCCGGCGAGCTTGATTCCATCACCTTTCCATTAAAGTTGTGTGATCCGACTGCCAAGGAATCACCACCACCTTCTTTCTAGCAAATTGCACAGGAGGCGAAACCCGGGCATCAAGATTGTGGGTTTTGGTGGGCTGCGGAAGAGAAGAGAAAAGAGATGACGTGGAAGATGATTTGGGTTGAGGAAACAAAGCGAACAAAGATGACAATGGTTTTGGAAGCGATATAAAAAATCTCGAACTTTCCCGATTTTTTAGCAATTGCTGCCCATCCCTCTCTTCTTGAAGTTCATTAGATTTATGTGGATTCAGGGTTGAGGAAGACGATGAGACGGGGGGCTTTGGGGGGTGGGATTGGGTTGGGGGAAATGGAAAGAAGATGGATGAGGAAGAAGATGATGATGAAGATTTTGGGGGTGGCAGTGAGAAGAGGAATCCAGCGGAACTGGGATTTGAGAGCTGTGGTTTATCTTCTTGTTCTTCATCGGAAGAGATGTAGCTCGATAGCAAAGAGTCCATGACCAGAAGCAAAAGGGGAGAAAAGCCCTAATTTCAGAACATGGAAAGAAAAATATGCTAAAATGTTATCCTTGAAAAGGGGAGAAAAGCTTGTGTTTTTCAATTTTGCCCTTGAAAATATGCCCACGTGAGAGAGGCGTGCTATTTTTAGTCAAAGAAATGAGCAAATACGAGCATTAGGACCAAAATGAATCATAATTTATATGTTAATAACTATTCTGGCTGATTTGTGTAAATATTAGGGACCAATTTGACAAATTTCTCTTTCTAATACTTCTCTCTATCTGACCCATTATTGGTTTCGTGTTTTCACTTTTTTGACAAGTCAAAAGAAGATTTGAAATCAAAATAAAGTAGGAGTATTTCTTGTTCTCTAGAGTTGCCATTTGAAAAGTACTTTTTCTAAATTGCGAATGCACATTTACGAAATCAAATATTTTTAAATTTTAAGGCTACTTGTTTAAATTCATCTAATGTTATCTATTTATGCATATTGATTACATGTTTGCATGAAAAGTTGAATTTTTGAAAAAATGAATCTAATATTAGGATAAATATCTTTGTGATGAATGGTGCACTTTTTACATGTCAATGTATATTAACATCTACATATTGACAAATTTCGTACCATCTTGCATTTGAAGTTATATGGTGTTGGTTTTTTTTCCCATTTGATACCTTAAAAGCACACGAAATGTTAAAAGGTAGGTGCACCATTAAATTTTAAAATTACTATCCAAATCCTGAGTTGCAACGCTTTTCACTTGCTTTCAAAAAAAAATTTAAAAAACAGTCCATCTTCTGTCCGGACATGATAGGCTTTATGATAGAAACCAATTTTTAAATGTGGCTCACCATGTGTCTGGCAAACAGACTCCTTTTATACAAAGAAAATGGAACTAGTGAACTAGTCCACCGCATGTCAGAGATACAACGAGCCTGGATAGAAAAATACTCAACTTTTCAACAATATTTTTCGAAGTTCTTTTTGGCAATATTTTAAAGAAATTTGCCCTGGGTTTGGAGTTGATTAGGTCCGGGTTGATTAATGACCTTGACTAAGATATATCAAAAATTAATATTCAAGAAAATATTCTACATAAAGAAATTGAAAACTAGTACATTTTATTTTCTTTCCTCATATATATAATGCACTTTTCATATTTGATATTCACATAAAGTAATGACATTACTTACGATCCAAATTAATTTAAAGTAGTGGCGGTTGGTTGAGATCAAATACAATTGTGTGATTAGAATTTTTTTTCAAATATTAATATGTTGTATGACCAACTAGAAAAATTCTGTAGTCATCTTAAAGTATCATTCCTTCAATGTGCTTCTTCCACTGATGATAGTAACGGGTAATTTAAATGATTGAAATTGTAACGACCTAAATATTAAAAATAATATTTGACCAAAAGGGATTATAGAATCTGTCAACTGCTTATCCCACTAATTTTGCAGAACAATTGGTCACTGCCATATTTTGAGCTAGATCTGTGTTTTTTGTGACTATTATATGTTTTTGTTTTCATCTTTTTTTTCCTCCAAATTGGACTAATTAGATGTACGAGTAACATACAAAAACATGAATTGAATACTGCTATTAATTACAATGTCTACTGGTTTCAGTTGATTTTTGTATTGCAAAATATTTTAAAAGAGTTATTGACAATTGAAAAGTGGACAAATAAAACGGGGAAGAGTAATTGACGGTTAAGTTTTTTTTTTTGTTTTTTGAAAATCGTCCAACATGATTTGATTTACATAACTCCCCTAATGGCAGGTCAAGCCTGCATTAAAAATTACAGATTATAATTTAACTAATACAATAGATTTGAAAATTACAAACACATCTAATAAAATATAAAGAATTTTAAAGTGTCTCCCTTTTGTGCATATGGCAATTGCCAGATTTGTCAATAAATGGTTTTAAGTTTCAATAATGATAATGAGATATGTTAAAATAGATTCAAATTTTGAAAAAAATTTCAGATCTTTTTTGATAGCAAACTAGAAAATTTCATTAAGGTGAGGATAGGTCCGCCGAAATTGCGGAGGGAAGAAAAGGTGGTGGAGAATAACTCCAACTACAGATATCTGAAATAGAGCGAGCATTTCTAGCTAATAAATGTGCTGGCACATTGGCCTTCCTAGGGACCCAATTAGCCTCCCAAGCGGCGAAGTTCTGTAACCTAACAAAGATATCATCTAACAGCACCCCATAAGCGGAGTCATCAGACTCCATAAGCTTAAGCATGTTGACGATCTTCAAAGAGTCTCCCTCCAAAATAATGTTGGGCACTTTCCATTGAAGCAGCAAGGAAATTGCAGTTCTCGCAGCATAGGCTTCGATGACCTCAGGGGAAAAGATACCAGAGATTTTGTGAGAAGTTCCTGTAACAAAATTGCCCCGCTCGTCCCTCACAACAACTCCAACACCAGAGTAGCCATATTCGGAGAAAACTGCGCCATCGAAGTTCGCCTTTAGGAAGCCCACAGGGGGCTTTGTCCAGTGGAGTGGAGCAATGGAAGTGCGGATTGGAGTATTTGGAGATGTGTTGGCTTCCCGGTACTTCTGTAAGAAATTGATAGAGAGAGAGACTAGACTGAGCGGGTCCCGATATGAACCATCGAATAAAGCACCATTTCGGTTAAGCCATAGATTCCAAAGAATTATGGCTACCAATTCCATGTCCTGCTTCTTCAAGAGATTCAGAAGGCCAGGCAACCAAGAAGAGACCTGCTTGGCGGAGTCTAACCTTATCTTTAGTGTAAGAAAGCTGAGGGCCCAAGCCTGAACTGCTACCGGACAGCACAAGAAGAGGTGAGTTACATCTTCAACAGGGGTCTTACATAAAAGACACATAGGGTCAAGGTGGACTCCACGGCTATTCAGCGTGGAAGATGTAGGGAGAATACCCTTGCAGATACGCCACAAGAATATCTTAACTTTGTTTGGTATGTTGAGCTTCCACAGGCGAGGCCAAATATCCTGCACCGAACCATTACTCCCTGAAGCTACATCTTGCCAGCCTGTAGATTGTGTTTTGATAAGGTGGTAGGCACTTTTCACTGTGAATGAGCCATTTTTAGAGTAGTGCCAGATGAGCTTATCGTGATTGTGACTATCACCCAATGGAATACCCATAATCAACTCAATCTCATCATGCCAAAAAAGCTCCTGAAGCAACTCAACTTTCCATTTCCTGCTATTTCCGTCAATTAAACAATCCACAGTGGAATCATCCAGCAGCACATCATAACGGGATATAATTTTGAAAGTAGAAGGGCGTGGAATCCACCTATCCTTCCAGATTCTGACATGGTTCCCATTTCCAACTCGCCATCTGCTACCAGAGAGTAAATATCTTCGAACAACGCACAATCCCCTCCAAGTAAAAGAAGGCCTGGAAGTAGGCTCGTCATGAAAAAAGTCCTTCGTTGGAAAATATTTAGCCTTAAAAACCTGATGAAGCAGAGTAGATGGCTGAGTTGCAATGCGCCATGCCTGTTTAGCCAATAAAGCTAAATTGAAAGCCTTAAGTTGTCTAAAGCCCATGCCCCCATCATTTTTGGACGAGCACATTCTATTCCAACTCACCCAGTGGATTGGTCTCTGTTTTGTGCCATCACCCCACCAAAAGTTACTAATCATAGATTGAATATCGGAAAGCAAGGAGTCCGGGTACTTGAAACAGGACATTGAGTATGTTGGAATGGCCTGGACAACAGCCTTGATCATGATTTCCTTACCTGCCGTTGAGAGGCGCTGTTCATTCCATCCATGTATCCTCTGCCAGATTCTCTCCTTTACAGATGAAAAAACTTCAGACTTGGAACAACCAACAACAGTAGGAAGGCAAGATATTTGTCGTGAGTGGGAACTTCCTTGATGTTAAGAAGCTGTGTGATACTTCGACGAACTGTGGGGTCTGTGTTTTTGCTGAAGACCACTGCTGATTTATCAAAGTTAACCTCCTGACCTGAAGCTGCTTTGTAAAGGTCAAGGACTGTCTTTATGTGCTGAGCTTCCTGCAGCGATGCCTTTGTGGCGACCCCACTTTCCCCTAAGGCGAACCAAAGGGTTGGCGGGCCGTCTGCCTAACTCTCGCCAGGACTCACGCAAGCAATCTATCCAAATCATTCCGAAGAATAACCTAAACTATTACAACACTGTTTCCTTCCAAATAGGCTGATGACTAAAACCCCATTAACTTCAGAGATAACAGCATCTTTAAAAAAAACCAATTGTCGACTCTTAAATACCTTACGCGTTACAAACCACGGAATAAAGTCAAACAATCCCATCTCACAAATTCATACAAGCCAAATATCAGAATTACAAGCTAAGTAACAAATTTACACAAGCCACATAACCAATCTGGGTTTTACACTTTTCCAGCTTCAAGTGGCAACCCAAGACAAAAGTACATTGTTTTATTCGAATTACATTACGAACTGCAAATCCAAGTCACAAGGTTCAAATACATTCATAAGCAAATATAAGTAGGCTCAAATTTCTCAAACGTCAAAACCTGTCAAGGAAAACAAATAAATGTGGGGTGAGCTAAAACTCAGTGGTGCCCCAAAACATGCAATCACATAAGGCAAGTAACAAGTATTAAATTCAACAATTAGAAAAGCGTATAACAGTACAAGGTAGGATACAGGGGCTCTCAGGAGCCGATTCCTCGCTTGACCAAACACCATCGTAGTTGACCCTCCGTCAACTCTCACTACTTATGATCCATGTAGAGTATCTCATTTTGTTTCCTAACCCGTCACCATTCATACCCCTGTCCCGGGCCCGAACACCAACTAAGGAAGCAGTATACTCGAGATATACCCTCAGGAATTGGGAGCAGTATACATGCGTATACCTTCAGAAATTGGGAGCAGTATACTTGCGTATACCCTCAGAAATTGGTCGAGGGATTCACCCAGCGACGTCACAACACTTGGATTCACTAAAATATTTCACGCAAGTCACCACTCGAAAGGCTAGTGTGATAAAGTACACACTGCTCACTTCGATGGATCAAAACCATTTCACAATTATCATATATCAAGTCAACAAAGCACTTTAATCACGTAGACATGGAACAAGCAGGGACACTCACCGAGAGTGAAGTTACTGATCAAGCTGGGAAATTAAAGTTCCACGTCCTCGCTGTACCCTAGAAAACCAAGTTTTAAAACTATAAGTCTTCTATTCAGTTTTTAAGCTTATACATATAGAGGATTATCTAATATATTACTAGTTTACCTTCTCAGAGAAATTTTAAAAATCCACTTGGGTTGAAACTTGACAAAAGTAGTAAAAATGTTTTTTATAGTTTTTCCTTGAGATACTTTTCCTTATAAAAAAGGTAACTAGTATTATTTTCTTGAAATAAGTCGATAAACCACTTAATATCAAAGCTGGAAAGATACTTTGAAAAATTTCTTTAAAGTTACGGTTCTTGCAAAAATTGTCACTAAAACTATTTTACCAAAACTAAAGTTTCTTGCCGAGCAAGTTTCTAAGTTTTTAACTTAAGGTTATTAAAATTCTTATTTTGGAACTTTTCCTATAGACAACTAGCCAAAGGCAAATCTTAAAGAAAGAAAAGGAATTAGAACAAGACTTAGGGTTTTAAAAGCTATAAAAATTATTTTCTATAACTATTAAGGCTAGTTCAAGCTACAAAAAAATTGTCGAGTTAGCAAAATTTAGGGCAAAATACTAAATACTGAATTTCATCGTCTAATACTAGCGAAAAATATTTTTGATTCGTTTGCTCAGAATTGCTCGAGTTCACAGGGTCGAAACGACTTTCACAATTTCGATTTCATTTCGAAATCACATTACGGCTCAAATTTGTCAACATGGCCAAATCACATTTCATTTAGCAAATCACTAGGGCTTTGTCAATCATTCGCCCTAGTTTTCAACAGGTTCATTTCTGATAGAAAAATGAAACAAGTGACCAAGGTTTCGTCAATCATTAGCTCTTGGTTTTGGCAAGCTCATATCCTATCTCAACTTAATCAAAATAAACATAAGGCCTCCAAGCAATTCCAGCAATTTAATTTCTTCAAACTTTAACACTTATATAAAATCATTCAAATGGCCAAGGGTTTCATCAATCATTAGCCCTTAGCACCCAACAATTATTTCTTATTGCAACAAAGCCAAAATTTCGAACGTTTGGAATCACTAACAGGTGTATGAACGTAAGGCAAGATTTTGCAACCCTATTTTGTCCAAGATTTCAACCAAAATCTCATTCTTGTAGCCATGATAAAAATCAAATGGTCACCCCAAAAATTCACATGCACGGCCCTCTTAATATACTCTAGAGTGAGGTCAATAAGCATGAAATATTTTACAGCTCAAAACAGCATTTTTAGAACTAAAATTCGCCAAAAGAAATCTGAAAAATTCCTTTACTTCCTCTATCAACTCACTTGAAAATTTTCCAGGTCTACCCTTCAACATTTTTTATCAAATCTTCCAAAATATCAAAGGTTTCATAGCTAAACAACTTACACAGCTTAAAATACATATTTTTCATACATTTCGAAACCATTGTACTCTAAGAAAAATTCCAGAAACAAGTTAACATTTCCAATCCAAGTCTCTCGGCTACTAACAAAAATGTTCAGCATTTACATTCCAACCTTTTGGTCCAAACTTCCAATATAACAAATGTTTCATAGCTAAACCACCTACATGGCTTAAGTACACATTTTTCATACATTTCTGAACCATTTTCTTCCAAGGAAAAATTCCAAAAACCAATTAAAATTTTCAGCTCAACCTCTCGGTCATTTAAATTTCCAGTACTTCGTTGTTCATGAATTCAATATTTCCTTGGCTAAGACATGCTATTAAACTCTCAGCTTCATCATGCAATTACTTGGCTAGACCGTTAACATTTCCAGCTCGAAATTAAATTTAAACAGCTGTTATAATCCTCAAAATTTCCAGGTTCAAACTCACCGCAGTTCACAAAAATTTTCCAGCAATTGTATGTTCTTAATCCAGCTTTTCCCTTGGTTAAATCAGTATTTTAGGGACTCAAATTCAGCATGCAACTGCTTAACCACTTGATTAACATTTCTAGTTCAACATCGGGTTCATTTAATACTACAAACATCGCTAAAATCTAGAAATTATATCAACTAGTCTCGGATGGTCATGCATGAAACAATTTTTCTGTTTTCATTTTATTTTCTTGGTTAGCCGAGTTACTTGGCCTCATGCAAGACTTAATTACCTTCTTATTAGTGAGGTAATCACATTCATCAGTTCAAATTGTTACCAGATAAACAGATTAGTGCTGCCTTTTCATTTCAGCTACTCGGCAGTCCATTTCTTTCCAAATCAAGGTTTCTTATGCTTCTAATTTAATCATCCAAACGCACAAATCAACATGCATGATCTTAATCATCAAGTTTTCACTCGGCTAATTACATTTAGGTGTTCAGATTGCTAAGAGTGAACAATTTCGGAGCTGCATTTCCGATTTCAGCTCATGGCCAAAATTTATCCCTTCGCGCAGTAAATTTTTCTTTTCTTTTCCAGTACATCATCCGATCGATTAACTCTATATGCATGCTCCTAATTAACTCAAACAACCTCTAATTAGTTTAATCTAGCTCAGAGGTTACCTCAAATTGCAGCTCACTCACAAGAAATCTGAAAAATTTCCTGTTCTCCCTCTCGGCTCTCAGCTCGCACAGGTTTTGGTTGCAGTGGTTGCGACTGGAATGGTGTTGCAGTGAGGAGTGCTGAAGTGCAGTTGTTTGGAGTTAAAAAAATGCAGACGGAAGCTCACACACGGTTCTCTCCTTCTATCTCCCTCTCGCTTCTCCTTCTCGGACAGGAACAGCAAACTATCGCAGCTCACTGTTTCTCTCCTTGCTCTCGGTTATCAGGTGTAGTTGTGTTTGAGGTGAGATGTTGCAGAGTTAAGGGAGGTGATGTTGCGGGGTTGAGGGGGAAAAATGGGGAGATGACCCGCGGTTTTGGAGGGTGTTGGAGTGTAGGAAGAGGTTGAGTGTGTAGGTGGTGAAGGTGAGCATTGGTCGAATGGTGAGGTTGATCATAATGCTGTCCGGAAATGTTTTGGAATTGCATGGTGATTTTGTGATATTGTGAAGGTTGGTTTAGACATTTCACATTGCCCTACTAATCCTTACTTGAGTCCTTGATTTTAACTTAACACCAAAAATTTATTCCGAATGTAAATTAAACTCCTAATGATACACCAATCTCACAAGATTTCATTTATCGAAATTTTTACGTCCTACACATATTTAGTATATGTGTATTGTTTTTATCTAAAATTTATCGGCTTCTTCCTATCGTGAGAATTTTTGGTAGTATTTAACGCTATTCACTAATTAGAATGAATTATTGGACTTCAAGTAATTTATATTAAGGTAGTAAAATTAATCTACTCAGGTGATATTAATTTAACATAATAAAACTAAATGCTTTAATATTTTATGTGGAGGTGCTAAAATTGCAAATGAAATATGAAATGATATTTGTATATACATTTTCAGGGTTCTCACAGCCTTGCCGAATAATAAGGTGTCATCGGCAAATAATAGGTGAGATAGTTTGGGTCCGCGTGAGCCGATCCGAAAACCTGAGATGCTTCCGCAACGTTCAGCTTCCTGCAATAAACAAGAAAAGCCTTCGGCACAGATCAAGAACAAGTAGGGTGATAATGGATCCCCCTGTCTGATACCACGGTGGGGTTGTAGGTTCCCAAGTTGGGACCCATTAAGTAGGAAAGTGTAAGACACAGTAGAAATGCAGCGAAAAACAATGTCCACAAAAGCGGAATGGAAACCTAAAGCTATCATCATATGTCGAAGAAAAAGCCACTCGACCTTATCAAATGCTTTGCTCATGTCCAACTTAATGGACATCAATCCCTCCTGCCCATAGGATTTCAGCTTAAGGGAATGATTGACTTCATAAGCAATTAGGATATTATCAGTGATACAGCGCCCAGGGATGAACGCTGATTGACATGGTGAGATGACTTTGGGAAGACAGTTCCTAAGCCTATTAGCTAAGACCTTAGAGGCTAGCTTATAAACTACGTTGCAAAGACTAATGGGACGAAATTGGGTGATACTGGATGGACTGTGACACTTAGGGATAAGGACAACATAGGTGTGATTAAGACTCGTAGGTAAGGTGCCCTCGTTTAGGACAGTAAGAACCCAACGAGTGACATCTCGACCAACAATATGCCAATATCTTTGGTAGAAGACTGGTGACATGCCATCCGGCCCGGGAGATTTAAATGGATGCATTTGACTTAAAGCCTTTGTTACCTCAATGGTAGTGTAGGTACGCAGGAGACAATAATTCATTTCCTTGGAAACGCATCCCCGCACTCGCTGGATGACTGCATCAATTGCCAGAGAAGTAGACTGTGAAGTAGAAAAGATTGTGCCAAAATGTTCCATGATAATAGATTCTAGACCCTCCTGTGACTGACACCAAGAACCATTGTTATCGAAAAGGCCAACAATCTGGTTATGCTTCCGTCTCTGGGAAGCCAGGCCATGGAAGTAAGCTGTGTTTCGATCACCCTCTCTATACCACTGTGCTTTGCTTCGCTGTTTCCACATGATGTCTTGCTTGTCCAGAAGCTCCTCTAGCTGGGTAGTTAAAGAACTAATCTCAGCTTTGATAGAGTCCGTCAAAACGCCTTGTTGGAGGCGAGAAATCCTTTGCCAAAGATCATCCGCAGCCTTAGTATGGTTGCCGAAGGACTGTTTGCTCCATTGGAGAAGGCCTAACCTACAACTATTAGTCTTCATAACCAGGTTGGCACAAGCATCTTCTGTCGAGCTATACTCCCAAGAATCTTGGATAATGCGTTCGCAGTCTTCTGATTTGATCCACATTGCTTCAAACATGAAGCATTTGTCCCTCCTAGATTTGCTGCGAGCTTTTAAGAGATCATGCGAGCACGATAATCTTAAGACAATAGGAACATGATCGGAAAAAAGAGCATGTGAGTGATAGATCCTGGCATCAGGAAACAAGGTGAGAAAGTCATGGGAGACGCATGCGCGGTCCAGACGAGCTCTAGTTGTGTCAGGAGCCGACCTATTCCGACACCAAGTGAAGTGATTACCTTCATGGCCTAAGTCAAACAAATTACAGTCCGAAAGTGCCTTCCGAAAGTTCATAATTTGCCAATTCGGTCTCCATGTCGCGCCCTGAAATTCCTCTTGAGTGAGTACCTCGTTGAAGTCACCCATGCAGACCTATGGTAGGCAGCATAATGTACTGAGCTTGCGCATAATATCCCAAGTATATTTTCTTTTAGCCGCCTCTGGATGACCATAGAAACCAGTCAAACGCCAGGAGGAATCAGTCATATGCACCTTAACATCAACAAAACAATCCGAGAAACGCATAAGTTCAACACCCAGATCCTTCCTCCAAAGGAGAGCTAAGCCACCCGAGTTCCCTCGTGAGTCAACCCCTAAACCAAACCATCTGATATCCTGCTTTAGCTTGTCGATTACTTTATCCGAACACTTCGTCTCTACTAAAAAAATAATTGAAACTTTATCTCTCCGGATGATGTTTCGGAGCTCCCGAACTGTCCGAGGGTTGTTTAACCCTTTAACCCCCGACAATTCCAGCTCAAGCAATTCATGGTTCTCGGCGGGACTGCAAGGCAGTCTCCGCCGCTATAGAGGTTGTTTGAGGAGGTGCGGGCAGCGTAGCATGTTTCGGTTTCTTTGGGGCCGAACCACTAGCATCTCCCTCCCCTGCAGAAGAAGCATCCGTGGCCTCTCTTTTTGTCTTGTGACCCGATATAACATTAGTAGGATGTAGGGCCAATTTTGAAGGTGTTGATTTCCTGCGGGAGATATTGCATCCTTTCATTTTTTTGGAGGAAGCGATAGTTCGCATGTCGTGGATGTCGGAAAATTTCTTTTGCTGCGTTAAGGTGGCATCAACTAGAAACACATCCTCCATGGTTGGCTCTGTAGATGTTGTGATAGACAATTGCATGGATGGTATGCTGGGGTTAGTGGTTGTATGACTGGGTTTGGGCTTGCCATCGCAGGGGCGAAAAAGGGGGCCAAGGTTGGGGTGTACATTTTCCAATGAAGCATGGGTGGCTATTTGAATAGCTTGGTGAAAAGGCTGTGAAGGTATGGGGGGCATGACAGAAGGTTGTGAAGTAGGAGAACGTTCTTGCTGAGATGTGGCGGGGTTGATTAGAGAGAATTTGGGGCTGGTGATGGTATTGGGCGGACTTGGTTTGCTAGGGACTGGGATTTTGGGGTGTTCATTGGGCTTCGAGCCAAGAGCATTTGCTTTGGAATTGGCCGAGCTTGAGGGCCCATCATGAACAATTGAGTGGGGGGAATGTGTGGTTAAGGGTAAGGAAGTGGAAGTTGCCTGCGCTGTTGGAGAACTATCAGTGACCAATGCCGTTGAAAGGATTGGTTGGCCGTTATCCAGAGAGAAAGGTCTGCGCTGGGGTGCTACCAAGGTGCTAGGAACTCGGACGTCTGGTCTTTGGGTAGGATCAGGCCTGCCAACCAAACTTGGAGATTCTGAGGCCTGGTAATTCGGATGTTCAAAACTAACAACCTCCTTAGGTGACGCGACCTTATCGGCAGCAGGGAGGGACTGGCCCCCTTTCGTCGGTGGTGTTGCCGTCCGAGACGAAAGTTGCGGGCCGGCGAATTTTTTGTCGTTGGTGGCCCTAAGCCACCCACCATATTGAGGTTCGCCGTTGTTTACCACAGTAACATCTAGTTTGTCGTCGCAATCCCTTTCTCCATGTCCAATTCGACCACAAAAATAGCAATGCATAGGAAGGCGCTCATAACGACAGTGAACCTCACAAACCGCACCCTCGATTAGAAGCTTCATCAGTCGTTTGAGAGGGTTATTGAGATTTAGCTTAACCCGAATGCGCAAAAACTTACCCACAGAGAGACCACCCTTTGCATCAAATCCCTCGTACGTGCCAAGTTTGCTCCCTATAAAGTCCGCCGTTCTTCCGTTCATCCATCCCAATGGGAGGTTGTATACTCGAACCCAGAAAGAGCAGTGATCCAATTTTACCTTGGACGGCTGAATGTTACCAACATAGTCACTGACAACCAGCAAACTTCCATCAAAAGCCCAAGGGCATCCTGCCATAACCTTCCTTTTGTCTACAATGTCGTTAAATTTGAAGAGGAAAAGGTTATCCCCAACTGCCGAGTACTCGAGGCCTTTAGCCGGGTTCCAAGATTTCTTCATGGTAGCCATCATAGCCTCTGCGTTGAAGGACTTCCGACTGAACAGCTTTCCGAGAATGCACAAATCGCCGTCAAAATTGGAGCCACCGTCATTGTCATCGGGCAATAACAGCACCTCCTCCTCATCATCCCTTAGCGCAAGATTTTGGCACAGCCTTTCTAACTCCTCAGCCATGGCCTCGTGAGAATTGATTCAGCCCGCAGAGGCGGACAGGGTAGCCAAGGTTGAGTGATTTAAACTGCGTGCCTGCAAAATACAAAGAGAGCCAAGGTTAAAAGGGACGAGGGAGGGGAAGCCCAGAAAGTTGTAGAGGAAAGGAATTGAAAATAATGCCGACGAAGTAAGATTCCAGAGCAAACGAATAGATAGAGATAGCGGGGAAAAAACAGAGCAGCAGGAGGGGGAAGAGGACAAAAACTTCCACTAGGCATCTAGGGAAGGAGGGGCCTTGCACGGGCAAGGAGAGACCCACAGAGCACTAGCGCTCATGGGAAAAAAAAAATTCAGATCTAACAACAAAATAAAGCAAAAAAAAAAAAATCTCCATAGGAGTTTGTTTCAATTGGATGGATGATGTAATGTTCAAATTGGGATTGGATACGTAAGGGCAAAGGTAAGCCATTTCCTTTTCCCTTTTTTTGTTTTTTTTTTGGGGAATGCATTCGATGTTTGATTTTCCCAAAGGAATTAAAACAAACTTGGATGGTACAAAAGTTTAATGTGGAAGATGACCCCACAATTTTTAAGTGAATTTGACCATTTATTTGTATGTAAAGTTTTAATTGTTGGATCCTGGAATAATCAGGAAGTCGTATCGGGTTTATTATAGTAAATAAAAAGGGGAGGAAGGAAGCGTTTGATGATTTGGGCTGACAAATGGGTTTGCGAACGAAGCACCTCGATGAACTTGACAGGCCTGAATTTAGAGATGTGGGTCCCATTCTAGTAAAACATGTAGTATTAAGTCCTTGTGCTTTGGCTCACTTTAAAAATTTAGCTAACCTGTTATCTCAAATTTCTTATTTAACCCCAAAACTTGGTTATGTTTTAATTTTACCATTTTTGTATAGTAATACATACCACAAGAATGTAAAAACCCAAGTTTCCAAGTAAAATCATCGTCCCTTGTCATCTATAACCATTTTCAGATGCCCACAACTAGTATTCGTTGAATTTTTGCCATATTTTTTTTTTCTATACTGTCATTACTACCGCATATCATGATAATATATTTTTCTATAATTTTTAAATTTTACATATTTTATTATAGTTATATGTTTTTTAATAATATTTTTCATAAATATTACAATATTTTTAAAATATTCAAAAATTTTAAAATTCATGAGAATTATAACCCATGCTCCAAGGCTTTGGTGCTGCTGGATTAGTGACAAATGCCTTACCTCAGGCAAGGCCTTTTGCAACACTGGGCCAAAGGCACGAAAAGTAAGAAGGACTGGATTTTTTTTCAATTTATTAACTATTCAGTCTTAATCTGAATTATTTGTTCATGATTGAAGTCAAAATCAATGAATTGGTAAAGAACTGATCAGGGGTCAAGTGATTTTAACTTTTCCTTAAATCTTACACTAGAAAAAGGAAAAATACAAGCAGTTTATTCACAAATAGAGTTTGAATTCCCTAAATTGTTGGACTCTTCATTTTTCTGAGACTCAAAAAAAATGCTACTCTTTGAACTTCCCATGCTTAACAGATCGATCTTCTAGACATATTCTTTAGTGATTCTTTTCAACATCCATCCATTGTGTAATTTCAAGCATTTATTTGCTTTCTGCATGTAAAGTTTATTTTCTCAAACATTGAGAATGCTTGTATTGTCCTTCTCTAGTATAATGCTTAAATTGAGGATCAGGCAGCTCTGTTTTGTTTATTTTTTCAAACGTATGGTTTTCACCCCACAGGATTCGCAGCTGGCCGGCTTTGATATCCTTCTCTAATCTGCACTTTCGAGACCATGTTGGAAGCAAGAAAGCCTATACAATTGGCAAGGACATTGGAACTACTTGCTACATCTGTGATGTAGCTTTCCTTTACCTGTTCTACTTAGCTAGATGCCCAAACCTGGATCCCTGCTCTATAGATCCCTTGCGTCTATAGAGTATGGCGTTAAGAACTTTTTTGCCCAACGAATCCCTAATTTCTATGGCGTCGAGAACTTTTTAGCTTTCCATTGGTGTTTACTATGGTATCAAGAACTTTTCTGCTTTCCATTGGTGCTTACATAGTTTTTGTTGATTTCTTATTCACTTTAGACCATTTTCTACTTTTTGTTGGTATGATGTAGTTTACAATGACATTGTTGGTATGTTGGCTTCTACTTTTACATGACCAGATCTTTATTCATTACAAGCACTCTAAAGAAACACCATTTTCTTAAAACTTTACGTGTCTTAACCCTCGAGACAATAGTATGACGAAGTTTTTGGAACAAATACAACTCGCTCAACTCTCAATACAGTGAAATCACCAACAGGTAGAATGCTAGAAGGAATTAATGCCTCAACAAAGGTATGTCTTCATGAGTTTCAGGAGTTCGCCAAGTACCACGGCCAGGATCATATCTATCACCCTTGACTCCAGCTGATGCAATAGATTCAAGTTCAGCCATATCTTCTGCTGACAGTTTTACAGACAAAGCTCCTATATTCTGATAGAGGTTCTCAATCTTGGTAGTGCCAGGTATGGGACAAACATCATTGCCTTGGTGATGGACCCAGGCCAATGCTTGCTGTGATGGAGTACAACTCTTCCTTGAAGCAATGGCATTGACTTGAATCGAGTTAAAATAATACAATAAATTTAGAAGATATTAAAAAGGTTTATCAACAAAATAATTATACCAATCAAATGAATAAAATAAGAAGAAAAAGAATTTATAATAAAAATAATAAAGATTGGAAAATGATAAGTAATAGAAATTATTATCCAAAACCTAGTCCTCCAGACATTCAATATGAAGAAAGATCAAAATTTCGTACCACTAAATATGATGGAGATTCAATATATGAATGGAACATAGATGGCAAAGCAGAATATGAAGTATTAAATAATTTACAAGAAATGGGAATGGCTAGATTAGCTTATAAAATTAAAAATATTCAAGAAAGAAATATTGCAACATTATTAGTTTCAGGATTTACTGGACAATTAAAAAATTGGTGGGATAATGCTTTAACATTACAAGATAAATTATCAATACTAGATCATACACAAGAAATTGAAGATGATCAAGGAAATATTCAAATACAATCAGATGCTGCAGAATTTCTAATTGTAACAATAGTAATGTATTTTATAGGAAACCCAAAAGAGGAATTAAACTCTAATAAAACATTTCTAACAAATTTAAGATGTCCAACATTATCAAACTTTAGATGGTATAAAGATATGTTTTTAACTAATGTATTAAGAAGACCAGATTGCAATGCTTCATTTTGGAAAGAAAGATTCATAATAGGATTACCAAGTTTATTTTCACAAAGAATAATGGATAATTTACAAAGGGAAATGGGAACAGATGTAATTTCATTCGAAAATATTACTTTTGGACAATTATTTGCTTTTGTGAAAAAAGAAGGATTAATGTTATGTTCAGAATTAAAATTACAAATAAAATATGGTTCAAAAATAAAAGAAGTAGGATCATTTTGTGATGCATTTGGAATTAAAAGAATTAAATTACCATCTGCATATAAAAAGAAAGTTAAAAAATATAATAAGAAAATAAGATACAAAAGATCTAAAGAAGATAAACCAGAAAAGAAGAAAAGATTTATTAAGAACAAAATAGTCTATTACAAATGCGGAAAAATAGGACATAAAGCAAACAAATATAAATTAAAAGAAAAAATTACGGAGATTTGTACACAAGACGAAGAAATTAAAAATAAATTAATAAATTTATTAATAAATGAAAAAGATCAAAGTTCTAAAGATGATTATTATAATGATATATCTAGTTCAGAAAGTGAAGAAAATTATAATTGTGCTAATACTTCAAAATACATAAATGTTATAACTAAAAAAGAGGATAAAGAATTTTTATTAGATATAATAGAAAAAATTGATGACCCAATAGCTAAAAAAGAATATTTAGAAAGATTAAAAAGTCTAATTATACAAGAAGACAAAATGCCAAAGATAATAGAATCTTTTAGTATTTCTAAATTAATAGATAAATATCCAAACATAAATATAATGAAAAAAGAAACCACCAAAGACCTTCAAACAGAAATTAATTATCTTAAAATACAAGTAAAACAACTACAGCGAGAAATTATAGAATTAAAAACAAAAGATTTAGAAATAGAAGCAAAAATAACATTAATAGAAAATCAACCTTCAACTTCCAATTCTAAAACAGAAGAAATAAGTATATCAGAAAGACCAACAGATGAAATTCAATATTTAAATACAATAGAGAAAATGATATTTCAAAAATGGTATGCTTTAGTAACTATTACAGTAGAAGATTTCAAAGAAACATATGTAGCTTTAATAGATAGTGGAGCTGATTCAAGTTGTATTAAAGAAGGAATAATTCCTACTAAATATTGTGAAAGAACAAAAGAAACATTAATGGCAACAAATGGAGAAAATTTACAAGTAAAATATAAATTTACAAAAGAATCAATATGTAACAATGAATATTGTATTAGACATAATTTTATAATTGTAAAAAATATAAATCATGATATAATATTAGGAACACCTTTTTTAATTCAAATTTACCCATTTTCAGTAAGTCATGAAGGAATTTCAATAAATATAATGGGAAAAACTGTTATTTTTAAATTTCTAACTCCAATAAAACAAAGAGAATTACAGACATTACAAACATCTTCTATTTACAAAACAATAAATAGTATTACTAGAGTACAACAACAAATAAATTATATTAAGGAAGAAAAATCTTATTTAAAAATTGAAGAACAATTAAAAGAAAGTAAAATATTAAAAAGAATCTCAGAATTAGAATAACTATAACAAAAAGAAATTTGTGCAGATATTCCTAATGTTTTTTGGGATAGAAAACAACATATGATAGAATTACCTTACGAAACAGGTTTTAATGATAAAAATATTCCAACTAAAGCAAGACCAATACAAATGAATTCTGATTTATTAGAATTTTGTAAAAAGGAAATAAATTCATTAATAGATAAAGGATTAATAACACCTTCAAAATCACCTTGGAGTTGTGCTGCATTTTATGTAATGAATCAAGCTGAAAAAGAAAGAGGAGTTCCAAGATTAGTAATAAATTACAAACCATTAAATAAAGTTTTACAATGGATCAGATATCCAATTCCTAATAAAAAATATTTGCTTAATAGATTATTTAAAGCAAAAATCTTTTCAAAGTTTGATCTAAAATCAGGATATTGGCAAATATTAATAACACTAAAAGATAGATATAAAACAACATTCACAACACCTTTTGGTCATTATGAATGGAATGTAATGCCATTTGGATTAAAAAATGCACCATCAGAATTTCAAAATATAATGAATGATATCTAACTAATTCTTCTTTTGATTCTTCTATTCTTTGTTTTAATATACCCCCATATCCTAATTCTGATGCATCTGTTTCAACTATCATGAATGCTTTAGGATGTGGTAAACATAAACACGGTAATGAGTCAATTTTTTCTTTTAAATATTTTATTTTTTGAGTATGTTCTTCTGTCCAAGGTTTTGGGTTTTTCTTTAGTCTATTAAATAATATAGAACATTCTTGTCTTAATTTAGGGAAAAAATCTGCTATATAATTTAAGCATCTTAAAAACCTTTGTAATTGATTTTTGTCTTTTATTTCATCTGAAAATTTAGTAGCAAATTCTAAAGCTCTATTAATTGGTTTTATCGTTCCTTGATATATATCATGTCCTAAAAATCTTATTTTAGTTTGGAGGTTTTACTTCTGTATTTAAGTTTTGTAATGCTTGAGATATTTTATTTAATATATTGTCTGTATTATTTATTTTTTTATTATTAATATTTTGAACCAAATCTTGTTCTTTTTCTCTTGTCAAACTTCTAAGTTGAAAATGAGGTGCTGAAATATCATTAGAGAATTTTAATTCTGGTTTCTTTATGGTATCTATTTTTGCATTTAATACTTCCATATGTTGAGAAATTGTATGAAGAATTTGATTGGTATAATTATTTTGTTGATAAACCTTTTTAATATCTTCTAAATTTATTGTATTATTTGAACTCGATTCAGCTTCTCTACCCTTTTTAAAAGGTGAGGCTATTATATCTCCTTGTCCTATATTAATTTTTATTTCTTGTAATGGAGGATGTATAGATGTTATTATTTGATCATCTTTTAATTTTCATTTTTTGTATAAATGGTTTGAACATTTATTTGAGGTGTATTATATATATCATTTATTCCTATTTTTTCAGTATAGTATGATAACCAAGTGAAGAAAGGGAAATCAAATTTTTGCTTTTCTAATTCACTTTTCCATTCTAGAATTAATTTTCTTTTATATTCAGATTCTAGTTGAAAAAACCAAATTCTTTTTTCAGTATTTTCTTTATCTTCAAAATCTTCTTGTAAATATTTATGATTTATTTTATATGGTTTATTTATAACATTTATTTCTCCTTTCATTTGTGAATGGATTGGAGAATATTCTGATTGATTTTGATTTATAACTTCTGGAATAGGAGTTTTATACTTAAAATTTGAGATACTTTCTAAAGGAAAATTAATTTCAGTTGATTCATAATTAGAATGTCTAGCTGGTAGCCAAGAATAAGTTGAATCAGATTTTTCTCTTAATGATGAAAATCTTATTAAAGTATTACCATCAGGTTTTTCTATAATATCTTCTGCAGTGGTTTGTTCTATATTTCTTGCTTTTTGTGGATTTTTAATTTCAAATTCACTAGGTATATTTATTTCATTCCATTTTAGTCTTTTTGGAATATAAGTTGTGGGTCTATCTGCATCTACTTGTAATAAAGTTGTTTCTTCTTTAAGAGTTGGAGTCATTATAAATTTAGAATTTAAATGTGAAGATAGGGGTCTATAATATATTCTATCTATTATTGCAAAATTCTTTGTATGTTTTTCAAATTGATTTCCTTGTAGGTGAATATCTAATATGACTGACTTCAGAATGTGTGGGTCTGTTAGATCTATTGAGAAATTTGGAGTACAGTTAAAATATATGGGTCCATTGCATACATTAGTTTGAATCATAGAAAGTAAAGAAGTTTTATATCTTTTGAGTCTAGTATCTCTTAATGCTAAATATATAGGAGCATCTACTCCTAAATGGAATAAAGGTTTTACTGTAATTTGTATCAAACCTATATGAATATATCGATATCCTTTACTTAAATATATTTGAATTGTACTATGATTTAATAATGGAATGGATTGATATTCTTCTTGAATAGATATTGTTTTTTCATGTGTTTTTACTGATAAAGCTGTTTTGAAATCTAAAGGGCCTATTCGATAAATATGTTCTATTTTTTCTTCTGGAATTGTCCAATCTGAATTATTTATGGGCATATGATATTCATGATTTTGTACTACATTAGCTTGCTTTGAATTAGATCCTATTTTTAATTGTCTAAGAAATGCAGCCATGTTTAATATTAATTAAATTTTTACCTGATCAGAAACAACTGAGCACTATGCCGGGAACATCCTACTCTGGACTTACCAACGGTCTAACAAGGCATCAAAGTCTTACCAATGATTTCAGTAAAAGTTTAATAAAATACGTAAACATAAATGCATGAATTAGCCAAATCAAAATAGAAAATAATTCAAATGAAGTAATTGTAATAACAAAGTTTAAATATGCACGTCTATGTGGCACTGATACCACTTTTACCCAGGTTACTTTCTATTGAAATGTTCATAGAAATTAAACGATTAGACTTACTGAAAATTTAGAGTTGCCTTTGATAACGGAAGCTTGATGTTTGTTGAATCCTTGCACTTCTTATTAAAATATTTGAAGAAGGAAGCAAAAGTAGTTGAATACAAGAGTAGTTGAATAAGAGAGATTAGGAGATTTTTCTAAGGATTTTTACACGGGAAGGTTTTGTTCTCTTTTTTCACCGATGCTTTGTTTTCTGATCTTGAATCTATTTATAGAATCATCTGTTCTTGTATTTCATCTTCATTTGAATTTCATTTGCCTTTCTTTGAAATATGGCCGACATCTTTTTTCAAAAGTCATTTGGGTCTTGTCCGCATGGTCCCCCGAAAGGATCAAAAGTAGATTCGGATGATCCAGCTGACTCATCAATTTTGTCGATTTCTTTATTCTTATCATACTTTTGTAAATAGTCAAAATATTCTTTAAGCATCTCGGGATTCTGCATCATCTTTTTCATCAAAAAGTCGTTTGTAATTGTCTCGGATACCATAACTTTTTCTTTATCTTTCTTTTTTGGAATGGTTGGAGTGGTTGGCATAGTTGTTGAAGTGGTTGGCATAGTTGTTGGAGTGGTTGAAGTGGTTGGCTGACTTGTCCACTTGAGTTTGTCTCCGGTTGTTAGAAATCTTATCACATTTGCCTGATCTCCAAATTCTTGATTAAATCCTATCCACCATTTGATCTTGAATTTTCTGACTAGAGACATTGGGAGTGATTTTTCTAATTCTTGATGAATCTTGAAACTCCAGCAAAAAATCCATGGTATTTTGAATTCCATATGGAATAGTATTGGTCTTGTATACTCCTTCCCCTTTGCTTTTTTGAGATAAGTTTGGAATCCCATAAGAATATTTAGAGGTAGAATTTCTGGTTGAGGGCCAAACCATTTCCACCAGTGATTGAACCAAATTGGGAATTCTCTGCTGCAACTTTCTTTGAATGTAAAGAACCACGAATGATTGAATGGTCTATATAAAAAAGCACGATACCATGCCATTTTGTAATCTTGATAAGTAAATCCATCTGGAATAAATCTGACTGAGAAAAATTTCTTTGAATAAAGAGAAGTCCATTCATTAGGAGAACAAACTTTCTTTATTATACATTTTGAATGACTAATTAGATTTTTTCTATCTGGAGTGGGGAATATTTTTACAGATTGAGTATCAGTAAGAATTAATTCATAATAATTCAAATTTTTTGAAGGGTCATCAGGTTGCCAATAACATTTTTGTAGAAAGATTCTTTGAATAAGCTGATTGAGTGTAGAATATAACGGTATTTCTTGGAATCTGGTTAAAGTGATATGTTGAGTAGATGGTTTTGTGAAATAAGAGTTTTCATTAGATTTTTCTGAGGTTTTTGGAATTTGTTAAAGAGGTCTTATTTGGGAAGAAATTGGAGTACGAGCAGTTTGACTATAAGTCAATGCTGGAAAATCTTGCAATAATTGGAATCTATTTTGATTTACAGGAGTAAGACTCATCTCATAATCTTGAGGAGTCTTGGGTCTAGAATTTCCTGCTTTTGAATCCATATTCCTGCAAAATCAATAAACAACATCTTTAAGTTGATTAGATAATTGTTTATTTTGATCTTTGTAATGTTGAAGAAATTCCTCATTTCTTCCTGATCTCCTTAGGACTTGAATTCTGATAGTGTTTCTCTGAATTTCTCTTTGAATGAGAAAAACTCTCTCCTTTGGTGTAAGGGTTGCGAAATGGCTTTTCTGAATATACACTGTATCATGTTGAAAATTTGATAGGCTGGAATACTTTGTCTTCCATTACTGGTCTGAATAAAATATTGATATCCTCTGAATTGAAAAGCTGCTTCTTTGTTTAATAGTTTAGGAGAATCTCTTTGAGTTCTTAGGTAATTGGTATATTCTCGATCAGTTCTTTGGGCCATCATTTCACGATCCATGTCCTTGTAAAAATTCTCTAGTAAGAAAATCTGGTAATGAATTATTTTCTCCTTTTATAAATTTTATTTCAAAATAAAAAACAGATAAAATAGCTTGCCGTCTAGCAAATATTTATTTTGAAACTATATTTTGAACATCTTTTTGTAAAATTTCTTTTGCAGATTTACAATCTATTCTAATTAAAATTTTTTTGTTATATAAATCATCTTGAAATTTTGATATGCATAAAACTATTGATAAAATTTCCTTTTTAATGGTTGAATAATTCTTTTGAGGGTCAGACCATATTCTTGAATGATATCTAACTAATTCTTCTTTTGATTCTTCTATTTTTTGTTTTAATATACCCCCATTGATATCTTTTGGATTGAAGAACTGCTTCTTTGTTTAATAGTTTAGGAGAATCTCTTTGGGTTCTTAGGTAATTGGTATATTCTCGATCAGTTCTTTGGGCCATCATTTCACGATCCATGTTCTTGTAAAAATTCTCTAGTAAGAAAATCTGGTAATGAATTATTTTCTCCTTTTATAAATTCTATTTCAAAATCAAAAACAGATAAAATAGCTTTCCATCAAGCAAATATTTGTTTTGAAACTATATTTTGAACATCTTTTTGTAAAATTTCTTTTGCAGATTTACAATCTATTCTAATTAAAAAATTTTTGTTATATAAATCATCTTGAAATTTTGATATGCATAAAACTATTGATAAAATTTTCTTTTTAATGGTTGAATAATTCTTTTGAGGGTCAGACCATATTCCTGAATGATATCTAACTAATTCTTCTTTTGATTTTTCTATTCTTTGTTTTAATATACCCCCATATCCTAATTCTGATCCATCTGTTTCAACTATCATGAATGCTTTAGGATGTGGTAAACATAAATATGGTAATGAGTCAATTTTTTCTTTTAAATATTTTATTTTTTGAGTATGTTCTTTTGTCCAAAGTTTTGGGTTTTTCTTTAGTCTATTAAATAATATAGAGCATTCTTGTCTTAATTTAGGGAAAAAATCTGCTATATAATTTAAGCATCTTAAAAACCTTTGTAATTGATTTTTGTCTTTTATTTCATCTGAAAATTTAGTAGCAAATTCTAAAGCTCTATTAATTGGTTTTATCGTTCCTTGATATATATCATGTCCTAAAAATCTTATTTTAGTTTGGAATAGTTTCATTTTTGGTGCTGATACGACTAATCCATTTTTCTTAACTATTTTTAAAAATATATTTAAATGTCTAAAATGTTGTTCTAATGAGTCCGAATATATTAATACATCATCTATATAAACTATACTGAATGAACTATAAGGATTAAAAATATCATTCATTATATTTTGAAATTCTGATGGTGCATTTTTTAATCCAAATGGCATTACATTCCATTCATAATGACCAAAAGGTGTTGTGAATGCTGTTTTATATCTATCTTTTGGTATTATTAATATTTGCCAATATCCTGATTTTAGATCAAACTTTGAAAAGATTTTTGCTTTAAATAATCTATTAAGCAAATCTTTTTTATTAGGAATTGGATATCTGATCCATTGTAAAACTTTATTTAATGGTTTGTAATTTATTACTAATCTTGGAACTCCTCTTTTTTTTTTTTCAATATCATATCCTTTACATTATTGTCAACTGCTGGGCTAAGACTCCAGGACATGAAACTAAAAAATGTCTGTAATTGAATATAAATTGAAAAACAAATACCCAATTTGGGGCTGTTGGATTGATTTTAAATTTTTTACACCAAAAGTTTAGAGCCCAGCAAAGATATATATATATATATATATATATATATATATATATATATATATATATATATATATATATAAATGAACTGAGAACAAGCCAAAATATGTGTTTCTCAAAGGGAGTAATTTCGGAACCCTCCTGCTAATTATTCCTTCATCTGTTACTTTTTGCTAATTATTCCTTCATCGCCATGGCTAAGCTTGTGCCATCTGCAACATACAGGATGATTTTTAAGTGGAAACTCAAACAGATTAAATCCACCCATTTCTTGTGTCGTCTCTCATTGAAGAGGTTCACAATTCAAATTGACGCCTCAGGGATCCGGAGCAAAGGAGGGGCTGGTAAGGTTATCTTACCTAGACAGAGGAATTTCAACTCGGAAGAACCAAAAAGAAGTGTACGAACATTAAATTTCCAGCAGGTAAATTTTCCAGCAGCAACCCCATTAGAGAATCCCGACGAGCAAAATGGGCGACGGAGTTGAGGGAAGCTATTTAGTCACAATTTAAGCGCCACACTGCATCGCAAATTGAGGAACTCTACCAAGTGGAATAATCAGGTCCTTCATAATCTCGTATTCTTCTGCACTTATTTGCGCGCCTTGCAGCACCTTTGGAACTCCTCTTTCTTTTTCAGTTTGATTCATTACATAAAATGCAGCACAACTCCAAGGTGATTTTGAAGGTGTTATTAATCCTTTATCTATTAATGTCTTTATTTCCTTTTTACAAAATTCTAATAAATCAGAATTCATTTGTATTGGTCTTGCTTTAGTTGGACTATTTTTTTCATTAAAACCTGTTTCGTAAGGTAATTCTATCATATGTTGTTTTCTATCCCAAAAAGCATTAGGAATATCTGCACAAATTTCTTTTTGTAATAGTTATTCTAATTCTGAGATTCTTTTTAATATTTTACTTTCTTTTAATTGTTCTTCAATTTTTAAATAAGATTTTACTTCCTTAATATAATTTATTTGTTGTTGTACTCTAGTAATACTATTTATTGTTTTGTAAATAGAAGATGTTTGTAATGTCTGTAATTCTCTTTGTTTTATTGGAGTTAGAAATTTAAAAATAACAGTTTTTCCCATTATATTTATTGAAATTCCTTCATAACTTACTGAAAATGGGTAAATTTGAATTAAAAAAGGTGTTCCTAATATTATATCATGATTTATATTTTTTACAATTATAAAATTATGTCTAATACAATATTCATTGTTACATATTGATCCTTTTGTAAATTTATATTTTACTTGTAAATTTTCTCCATTTGCTGCCATTAATGTTTCTTTTGTTCTTTCACAATATTTAGTAGGAATTATTCCTTCTTTAATACAACTTGAATCAGCTCCACTATCTATTAAAGGTACATATGTTTCTTTGAAATCTGCTACTGTAATAGTTACTAAAGCATACCATTTTTGAAATATCATTTTCTCTATTGTATTTAAATATTGAATTTCATCTGTTGGTTTTTCTGATATACTTATTTCTTCTGTTTTAGAATTGGAAGTTGAAGGTTGATTTTCTATTAATGTTATTTTTGCTTCTATTTCTAAATTTTTTGTTTTTAATTCTATAATTTCTCGCTGTAGTTATTTTGCTTGTATTTTAAGATCATTAATTTCTGTTTGAAGGTCTTTGGTGGTTTCTTTTTTCATTATATTTATGTTTGGATATTTATCTATTAATTTAGAAATACTAAAAGGTTCTATTATCTTTGGCATTTTGTCTTCTTGTATAATTAGACTTTTTAATCTTTCTAAATATTCTTTTTTAGCTATTGGGTCATCAATTTTTTCTATTATATCTAATAAAAATTCTTTATTCTCTTTTTTAGTTATAATATTTATGTATTTTGAAGTATTAGCACAATTACAATTTTCTTCACTTTCTGAACTAGATATATCATTATAATAATCATCTTCAGAACTTTAATCTTTTTCATTTATTAATAAATTTATTAATTTGTTTTTAATTTCTTCGTCTTGTGTACAAATCTCCTTAATTTTTTCTTTTAATTTACATTTGTTTGCTTTATGGCCTATTTTTCCGCATTTGTAACAGACTATTTTGTTCTTAATAAATCTTTTCTTCTTTTCTGGTTTATCTTCTTTAGATCTTTTGTATCTTATTTTCTTATTATATTTTTTAACTTTCTTTTTATATGCAGATGGTAATTTAATTCTTTTAATTCCAAATGCATCACAAAATGATCTTACTTCTTTTGTTTTTGAACCATATTTTATTTGTAATTTTAATTCTGAACATAACATTAATCCTTCTTTTTTCACAAAAGCAAATAATTGTCCAAAAGTAATATTTTCGAATGAAATTACATTTGTTCCCATTTTCTTTTGTAAATTATCCATTATTCTTTGTGAAAATAAGTTTGGTAATCCTGTTATGAATCTTTCTTTCCAAAATGAAGCATTGCAATCTGGTCTTCTTAATACATTAGTTAAAAACATATCTTTATACCATCTAAAGTCTGATAATGTTGGACATCTTAAATTTGTTAGAAATGTTTTATTAGAGTTTAATTCCTCTTTTGGGTTTCCTATAAAATACATTACTATTGTTACAATTAGAAATTCTGCAGCATCTGATTGTATTTGAATATTTCCTTGATCACCTTCAATTTCTTGTGTATGATCTAGTATTGATAATTTATCTTGTAATGTTAAAGCATTATCCCACCAATTTTTTAATTGTCCAGTAAATCCTGAAACTAATAATGTTGCAATATTTCTTTCTTGAATATTTTTAATTTTATAAGCTAATCTAGCCATTCCCATTTCTTATAAATTATTTAATACTTCATATTCTGCTTTGCCATCTATG